GGCTGCAGTGTTTCCACCTGGAAATGAGTCAAATATTGAAAATATTTGTCAAATATTGAAAATGCCCTAAGTGATAATTAAAGAGAAGAAGCATTTTATGAATCCTTTCATACAGTGAAAAGGCCGTTCATAAGATGAAAACTTATGTCTAATATATCCAATTAACAGGGTCAGGCTTTCTCAGAGCAAGACATCCCTTACCTCTGCGTCTTCTGCCTGCACCTACCACTTGCTCACTCCCTGATGACCATTATCAACAATTACAACTGATATTTTAGTAAGAAGTCCATTCTGTGTGTGTGTGTGTGTATGAGTGTGTGTGTGTGTGTGTGTGTGTGTGTGTGAACCAAGACTGAATTTATGCTAAAGAAATTCTGGTATCGTCTCTTCTCTGCATATATTGCCTTTTCCACAAACAGATTTTATCAGTGAATCTTTCTGTTCTTTCCCAGTGCTACTGCCCCACCTTGAACTCCCAGTCTGTATAGGAAACCCTCAGGTGGGATCTCCTAACCTGCTTCCCAACTTATGAGCTAGCTCAAAACATTCATAGACTTCCTTCTCTCTAGTCCCTTGGCTTCAGCTGCTACTTGCTCCATTCCATAATGTCTTATCTTCATGTTCAAAGTGAAGAAATAGTTGGGTTCAAACTAAGAAGGTTAAAAAGAACTACACTGTGCTTTGGGTGTCTACAAAAAGTTACAATCCCATAAATATTTGCTGTTTGGGATATAGCTATCTTTGTGATGTGTATACAAGACACAATACAAATAAATGACTTTCACCTTCTCAGGAAGTGGCCCTAGAAGTATAGATCCTGCTGAGATGGAAAATGGCAGTTGAAAACAGAAGACAAAAGAAAAGCCAGGTGTCATCTGGGTCATGGCAATTCTGCCCTCTGATTATAGGATGCATGTTTCTTTTTAAATGTATCTGCCTGGGCTGAATGAAAGAATACTGGTTGAGTCTCAGGGACTTGGTACACAGTTTTCAATGTAAACATCCATCATTAGGTAATATCTTTCAAAGACATTTTTATAAAATGGACCCCCAAACCACAAAGGTACTTTTTACTCCATGATTTTCTTCCATAAATTTACTGCTGAAAAAGATGTCTGCTATTTGGGAGCACAAGTTGTTCCTACTGATGAAGTTTTCCATCTACCTAATAGCAACTCTACTCTGTAAATAGCATACAGATTGCTGAAAAAACTTCCCATTTGGTGACTTTGAAAGCAGTTGAAGTCTATTCTGACCAGAGAGAGAGACAGAAACAGAAATATATGGAAAGAGTCCAAAATATTTATAACATAAAATGAACATTTTACAGCAGGAAAAACATTTTGAATCAAGTCTATCAATGTTCTAAGATCAAAGAAAAGTCAGTTTCTAAAGGAACAAAAAGTCATATTGCTCTGTCAATTTAACATTGCCTGTTAAGAATACATAAATGAGGGATCCCTGGGTGGCACAGCGGTTTGGCACCTGCCTTTGGCCCAGGGCGCGATCCTGGAGACCCGGGATCGAATCCCACATCGGGTTCCCGGTGCATGGAGCCTGCTTCTCCCTCTGCCTGTGTCTCTGCCTCTCTCTCTCTCTGTGACTATCATAAGTAAATAAAAATTAAAAAAAATAAAAAAAAGAATACATAAATGATGTAATATGGTGAGAAAACAAGCAAAGATTTTGATATTGTAGTCCCACACAGCTCTCATAACCAAGCCTGCCTTAACACCCCTATATAAGGAGGCAGTGGCTCCTGGGGATCTGCTTTCTATATAGAGGGAAGGAGGCAGAGTTAATTTGTGGTAGGATTTTTTTTACCTGAAATTTTGTAGCTTAATATTCAAAATGACTATCTCACAGCAGGCAGCACAGAGATAGATTCCAGTTTTATATCCCTACTCATTATGGGTCTCCTCATGATATTCCTTATTAACATATTTTGTCCTCCAAAGAAGCCCCACTCACTTCCTGTTTCCATCATTTCCCCCTCTCTCCTTATTCAAAAAGAGTGTCATTTATTTTTGCTTCTTACATTTCCACTCAGTGACTTTCCTGATTGGCCATGCTGTCTCTGGCTTCTACCATTACTTATCTCACTCCACCTCCTTTCCAAGACCAAATTTCCTCTCTCCCCATGAAATCTAAAACTTTTTCTTCATATGCTGGACTCCAGGGAGCCCCTCTTTTCTCTCTGGTACAGCTATAGAATTCTTCAGTATATTCTCTAATGAAGTGCCTGAGACCTACTCAGTCCTTTGATTCTGCCTGGTGAATTGTACTTTAGGTCATTTCCTTGGAATTAAAAGGGCAGAAGGAGCCAAAATTCACTGTAAGTCACATGTTCTCATTAAGCATTACCAACAGTCCTATGGAGCAAAAGGGAGAGGGCTTTATTTTGTCAATTTCCAGGCTGAAGCTTATAAAACTGTAGTGTAATAAAAAGTCTTGAATTTGAATTAAGAATATCTAGGCTCAGGTCCCATCTTGGCCACTTCTTAGGTGTATGATCTTGAGTAAGTGAATTAAACTACTGAGTCTCAGATTCTTCATCTATAAATTTGCCCTATAGGACTCTTGCCCTAAAGGATTATTTAGAAAATAGATTAATAGACTGGTTGAAAATTTTATGTATAATATATATTACTTGTAGCGTCTATTATATAAATGTAGTATGTATACTATGTAGTATATAGGTAATATATATTATATGTAGTATAAACGCATAACATATATATATAATACATAACATATTATATGTTTATTTTTTCCTTAATCTTGTCATATTGAGCCTATTTTCTCTTAAGCAATAAGACTATGTAAAGACAAGGGACATCCCCAGGGAAAGGTTGACAATTTGGTTGTCAAGAGACCTACAAGAGTGGTAGTCTGTCATGGTCAGAGATTTGATTTTGACAGTGCCCCAGAATTAACCCATCCAGGGAGACTGATTGATGTCAACCAAACTCATAAACAACTGATGTACAAACTAGACTGTCACTCTCTTTTCCAGTTTCTAGCTACATGGTAAACATGATTGGTCATTTTAAAAAGTCAGTTCATAATTATGGAATTAGATTAAGGAGGGTTAGCTAACATTTAGGCAATTTTATCTATATTATGTTGAGATGAATAAATATTCCTATTTCACAGGGAAAAATATATCTCTGGTCTTGTGTCTTTCAGATTCAGCATTTCTCCTCTAGATATCCACATTCTAAATTCTCCTCTGATTTCCCATTTCTCTAAATTCCATGGTACTATACTCTCTTTTGATGATATACCTTAGATTTTTTTTTGCTTAACCAATTGATCCATTTATTCAAAATTTATATTGGTTACTAATTACAGTTGGTTGTCAATTATCAATAACTTCCAAGAACTATTTAAAGAAGGATGAGAGGGAAAACAGACACAATTTCTGTTTGCTTCTTTGTGAGGCTTACAGTCCTCGGAGAAAGAGATCCTAGAAATTTCTTTGGTAATAATTCTTAATGACCAAAATGAGCAGATAGTTGGTAAAGCATTTTGCCTTTCACTAAGTGCCCATTCCCCTCCCAAAAAAAAAGCAAAAAAAGAAAGAAATCACATTGAGCATATTCGTGCTTGTTTTGTTAGCATAACCAAACCATATTTGACCAGCTAGATTATATAGCTAACCGGTCTCATTTATCTAGCTATGGGAGTTGTTGTCTTAGCTTTTTATACAAGAAAAAGAATATTCGTTTTTATCTACAATTTTTTAAATTATTTTATTGTAGTTCAGTTTGCTAACATATAGCATATCACCCAGTGCTCATCCCATCAAATGCCCCCCTCAGTGCCCGTCACCCGGTCACACCACCTGCTGCCCACCTCCCCTTCCACTGCCCCTTGTTTGTCTCCCAAAGTTAGGTGTCTCTCATGTTCTGTCACCCTCTCTGATATTTCCCACTCATTTTCTCTCCTTTTCCCTTTATTCCCTTTCACTATTTTTTTATATTCCCCAAATGAATGAGACCATATAATGTTTGTCCTTCTCCGACTGACTTGCTTCACGCAGCATAATACCCTCCACTTCCATCCATGTTGAAGCAAATGGTGGGTATTTGTCCTTTCTAATGGCTGAGTAGACATGGCCAACAAGGACATGAGAAAATGCTCCATATCACTTACCTTAGATTTTTTAATATCATTAATTAAGCCACAGGTAAGTCACTATGCCTTACTTCTAGGATACATTATGTCTCCTTCCATTATGTATTGATTTAATTGTTCCAGCTATTAAAATTCTAGGGGAGCCCCACTGGAACAGTCTAGGGCTACTATCAGTAGCCTAATGTTAGCTGAACAGTCCAAGTGATTAGCCTGGAATTCTCATTCTCTTTTAGTCCCACTGGGGATATTATATCATATAGATATTATAGTCATTTATTCAAATAAGTAGGGGAAATGGATAAGCTAATTTCCCTAGGTTACTTTCTTTTGGATTATTTTCCTAGGGTTAAATGAAACAGTTAAATCTTACAAGCTCATTCAATTTTATTTGATTCTGAGAATAATTTTATGATGCTCTTCTCATGTAGAAGAATAGGGCTGTGGCCTAAGAAGTACTAGATGGTAATCTTGCTAAGCCAATAAGATAATTGAACAGAAACAACAAAACATTGGCCCTAGACCCAGAAAAAGGCCATTCTAACAGTTTCCTTAGATATACTTAAAACAGAAGTATATATGTGAAATCTAGATGTGCTCAAAAGAAATTGGAAGTGACTATTCTTTTTCAGATAGACTTACCACTTTCAATAGTAAAAGTATTCAGGTCTTTAGAAAAGAGTTAATTTTATGAAAATTTGATTTACACAAATGTGTTGAGAACAAAGCTACTTACCGCATTAAGCAAGAATCTTTTGGAAAGAAAAGCAGAATGGATTTTATATCTTACAGACTAGAATCATGGAGAGATCCCAAGTATTGCTGATGTAATTACCCTATCCTGTTTATTTTGTTGGTTCCAGATTTAATCTACAAAATTGAACTTGCAGGAGGCTTGGGAGCAATCTTTCTCTTCCTTGTACTGCTTGTGATCATCTACAAATGCTACAATATTGAACTGATGCTCTTCTACCGACAGCATTTTGGAGGTGATGAAACTACCAATGGTAAGCTATCTAATATTGTTTAAATTAAATTAAAAGGCATGGATTTGTGATTATGTAGGAGAATATCCCCATTCTTAGGCGATACATGATGAAATATTTAGAATTACATGGCTATCACTAAAGCAAGTTACCTCTCAAATAGTTCAGAAAAAAATATGTATTTATCAAGAAAAAGGACAAAGGGAAGAAAATCTTAACAGAAGAATCTGGGTAAGGAATATATGGATGTTCTTTGGAATTACTTTATTTTTGTAATGTTTGACATTGTTTCCAAACAATTTAACAAGGAAACATGAGTTGATCAGGAACTACTAAGAAGTTAAGAATCAATTCCATTATTTTCCTTCAGAAAATTCAAATTTCGGTACAGATCATTTTTAGCCATTCCCAGCATTGAAAAAACAAACAAATCATTTAGGAAACAGAATAAGAGCTATGAAGATTCTCTTTTTAAAACTCACAGTACATCTGGATCCACATATTTTGGATGATTGTAGAGCCCATTCTCAAAAATGACCTTAAAGGATAGAAATTCAGAATGTAGGTTATAATTTTCTTATGTTTGCCATCTAGGACCCTTGGAAATCTTTGGAATGAAATATCAATAAAGCATTGTATTGAGCTTTGTTTTTTTGAACATTCAAAAATGACTTAATTTTTCAAGAGAATAAATTACCATATTTCAAATTAATACCGATAAGAAATCATGACATGTAACTCCATATACATAAAGTTCTCACCCACAAACTACTGTAAGTCTTGGAAATAAGTGTATGAAATGCCTGAGGTAAGCCAAGATTCAAAAGAAGTCCATTTGTAAGTCATTAAAAGGTAGATTTGGATTCTAGTTTTCATTATATTGAAATAGATTATGGTCTTACCTCAAAGCAGAAGGGTTCATGATTTTGTTCATTTTTATAATGATAGAAGAAGGGCAGAGTAGTGAATGTAAAAAAAAAAAAGGAATCTTTGATTTCAGTCCTATGGTTTCTATTATGTAAATAACGATATGAGTGGGTTTTAATTGAGTTTTATGTTTTCATAGTAAATTAGGGAAATGGTGTTTGGTGAACACATATGCATGCTCTAATTTACCTAATTATTATAGCAACCCATTTAAAAGTATTACAAACCCTTATTCAGACATAGTTTCAAAATGAGAGATTAGGGCCTGTTCCAACCATAATTATACACTCCAACAATATATATGAAAGTGTGGTCAATTACCCTTAGTTTCCATATACAACAATTAATATAGAGAAATCTGACTTCTTACCTGCACATGTAAAATGACTATATGACATATGCTACTGAGGAAAAAGTCACTGATTCCCAGGTGCCAACAAGTAGCTAAATTATCCAACTGGGAATGTGAAAGACGCATATATTGTCTAAATGAAAAAACATAAAGGGAGGTTCCTGCGATTAATTTGTTTTGAGTCGTGATTATCAGTAATTTGTCAATACTCTCTGTAGGTGATGATACAATTTATTTTATTTTATTTGATGATACAATTTATTAAATTAATCTGCAATAATTAATTACCTTCATCACCCATACCCAATAATCCAGATTAATTGACCAGTTGTAGTACATATTTGTAAGATTAAATTCATGCTAGCATCAGAGGACACTTCAGGGGTAAAATATTCCATTTTGCATCTACGTCTCTAACATGGTCCATATGGTCAAAGATGACAAATAATCTAGGGCATTTTGATTAGAGAATTTTATTTATTGATTCCAAACCAGTTGTTTTAGGGAGAAAATTTAATGTGGAGGGAAGAGACTTCAGGGGTTTTCACTGGGAAGGAGAATTCAAATAATTTTTATTTCTACATGGAAACTTAGATCTTAAATACACAACCTGTACTAGCTTAATGGAATACTAAAAAGTCAGCAGGTATGTGGTGAGGATGAATAAATGAATATTAAAGCTCTTTTAAAAATACTTGGTTTCGAAAAAAATACTTGGTTTTGGAAAACAAAAACAAACAAAAATACTTGGTTTCGGGATGCCTGGATGGCTCAGCAGCTAAGCATCTGCCTTCTGCTCGGGGCATGATCCTGGAGTCCCGGGATGGAGTCCCACATTGGGCTCACTGCATGGAGCCTGCTTCTCCCTCTGCCTGGCTCTCTTTGTGTTTCTCATGAATAAATAAACAAAATCTTTAAAAGAAAAGATGTACTTGGTTTCATGATGCCAAATATCAGCTAGATAAGTTTCAAATTTTTCATTTCTTTATTTAAATGTTTTGGCATCTCATAGACACAACTTAGATTTATACTTATACTATTCATGTTTTCTCTTTGATTAATATCTATAGTAACATTTTCTGAAAGTTCTTATAAGAATGCTGTATTTTCTATAAAACAAAGTCAATCAGGGATCCCTGGGTGGCGCAGCGGTTTGGCGCCTGCCTTTGGCCCAGGGCGCGATTCTGGAGACCCCGGATCGAATCCCACGTCGGGCTCCCGGTGCATGGAGCCTGCTTTTCCCTCTGCCTGTGTCTCTGCCTCTCTCTCTCTCTCTCTCTCTCTCTCTCTCTCTGTGTGTGTGTGTGTGTGACTATCATAAAATAAATAAAAAAAGTCAATCCAACAAACTTAGCTGTTTTTTATATAATTCATTTCATTTTAATCCACCAAACAATGATTGCTTCATTTATTTGACCTTTGAGTTGTTCAGTCATTAAATATTTTTTAAGTGTCTACTCTGCGGCAGGCATTATGTATGATATATTTACTTATATTCTTCATCTGGGTATACACACACACACTATCTTAGGTACTAGGGGTATAATAATCAACGAAGTTACAGTCTTTGCACTTTAAAAGCTAAGGATTTAGCACCGTGGTTAGCATAGCCCTAGAAGAACTGGGTTGTAAATAGGAATGGCTTCCTGGTGGTGAATGGGATTAAAATCAGCTTTAAAAACTGGGAAGGATGGCTGTGACAACAGGAAAATTCTTCCACAAACAGTTTGTTTCCCTTCCTCATAACATCTCTCTTCATTGGGAACATACCTATGATGATTGCTGTGCAAGCCCGCTTTCTTATAGTGCTTTGCGATCTGCATTGACTCTATTTTCTGGTTCCTTAGATGAGCTTAGTCAGCATGATTTAACACTGAGGAAGGCTCAGTAGCCTTGCTTAACAAAGTGGTATTGCTGAATTGCCATTTGGTTTTAAAACAATTTTTAGGCCTCGTTTGTTAACCTTATATGCATCATGTTGTTGATTTTGCTCTTCTATCTTGCTCCTCTCTGTGAGCAACAGCTGTGACTATTCATGAGGTTTTCTTGGCTGTCTATATAAGGCTGAAGTGCATTTTTTAAACTGTGGCATCTGCATCACTGCTTGTTCACTAGCTGGCATCCTAGAGCTTCTGGGACATCTGACATGGTGGCTTTGAGAGCACTCTTCCTGGTTCTGTCCAGCCACCATAAGCTCTTTATCGCTAGTTCATCTTAAAGGGACATGGCCAAAATCAGAAGCAATAATTTTCCAAAGAATGATATACTTCTAGAATGTTAGGTAAAAATTATTATCCAGATGTGTTGGGCATTAACATATATCAAAGACATCTATGTTCTTTGTTGTAACTTGATTTGGGATATGCTAATAAAGCACTATTTTTCTAGAAGAGTCTGTAGCATCACCTCTATTAGAGTATAGGTGAAGCAAGTAAGGACCAGGAATATGTGAGCTTAGGCATGGTTGGAGGGCAAATAGTCTTAGTCAGGATAAGCAATGGAGGCAAGAGTATAAAGCCCTGGTCAGATGAGTGAAAGACTCAGGTAGTCATTGCAGATGGCTGGCTCATAGTAGATGCTCAACAAATCATTGTTGAATGTATTAAAAAGTAGTTGAATTTAGGGAGGTTTGTGAGGTAGAAAAATTATAAAAATCAGAGGAAACAAGGGTCTAATCTGACATTATGGAATTTAAGGCGGCAGCACCATCCATTAAGAACGATGAAATACATTCTGTTCATAAGAATGGATCTGTCCTTTGGCCTATTTTATTCTTCCAGCTGTGTATCATCAGCAGCTCTAAGTCCCAAGTGAGTAATTATATCTGGAGAAAGTCAAGGGCTTGCAGGTGTATCCTGAGCTTGACTGGAACAGGGGCAGAGGTGCTAGCATTACCAGGAGTTTCTTACATTACCATTGCTTATGAACATCCTCACTTCCGAGTGGTGTTTTATGCATAGAAGTGGAATGCGCCCCATTTGTAAGCCAAATGATCTCCACTATCCAGGGCAGTCCTTCATGTGCATCTGCTTCTTGGCAATCAAGTAACCCAACCAAGGCTGATGGAAGCCTTTTCCAGCCAGAGGACATGCTAAAGAAAAGCCTCTTGGCTTCAGGCACCATCATAACATAAATAACCAGAGTTCCTTTCATGTGGGGGTGGTGAAGACTGGAATCTTACTAGAATTAGAACAATATAATCCTGCCTCAGATATATCTAGATAGTCAGAGGGTCCCACGTATTTCTACCCTAAGGTATTTATATGTCTTCATATGCCTATCATTTATTCCTCCTTTAGGAGGTAGAACTAAATCATTAATGGCAGAGATGAGTGGCTGCTTCATTCTGTAAACCTTTTGGTCATGTTTTAGCTATATTCTAATCAGGTCCACTTTAATGAAAAATATCGATGTGGTTTAGAAACAAATCCTGAAATGTGTGCTTATCTTTTAAAATTATTATTTTCAAGTAACAAGGTTTAATAAATAGTAACAGTTCCACTTAAGTCTATGCTCATTACATTTAACTTTTAAAGGAATTTTCTTGGGACTCCTGGGTGGCTCAGCAGTTTAGTACCTACCTTTGGCCTAGGGTGGATCCTGGAGTCACAGGATCAAGTCCCACATCAGGCTCCCTGCATGGAGCTGCTTCTCTCTCTTCCTATGTCTCTGCCTCTCTCTTGCTGTGTCTCTCATGAATAAATAAATGAAATCCTAAAAAAATAATTTTCTATAAATAAGGGAATTTTGAAAACCACTATAACTTTTCCAATGTGGCCTTTCTAAAACCAATGGGGAGTAATAGCTTGAGTAGCCATATTCATTAATAATTTTTAGGGAAAAATATATAAACATTTTACATTTTCTCTTAGGAGAGGTTGGCTCTGAGCCAGTATAATGAAGGAGGAAAAAAATACTTTCTCAGAGCACAGTTAACTCTCTGACTAAATGTGTGAAGGGAAAACCTAATTTGGCAATAATGGAAGAATGTATATTTCGAAACAAAGGGTCCTTTTGGGAGCTTGTGTCAAATTAGTTGGGCATGGATTGAACAAAAATAACAGACAGTGCACTTGTAGAAAACCCAGCTGCTGTCTCTAATATTTGGTAATAAACTACTTTTTGTATATGAAGATAATGATAGTAACCAACGGGAATTATGGCATGTGTTGTGAGTAGTGTCTCCAGGAGTGAGGCTGGATTATTTTGATCTTCCACACTCTAGGGGCCAGCCCCTCTTGGATCTCTTGCACATATTTGTACAAACGAGGTATAGTCTGTGACCAAGTAACAGAGCCAAGCCAACTGGCACAGAAAAAGTTCAAATCCATGACTTTGGTCTATTTAATCCTGCATTCAAACACACTGAGCTAATCATTTACACATCACTGAATATCACAAATATGTATAGTCACCAGGAACCACAAATAATAACTCTCTTTTATTCTGTCCTGACTATAGGTTTCCCATTACCATAATGGTTTCAGCTCATATCATATGACTAGGTTATATTGAAATGTGCTAGATTTCTTATAACATGGCATGTGGTTTATTTTTTCTAGTTATTAATGACATTAATTATAGTGCTTAGGTCAGCTTTTAGTGGTTATAGATTTTTAGTACTTAAAGAGAACTTACTAATACATAAAACCCACTTGTTGTTCTTTATATTTAAGACAACAAGGAATATGATGCCTATCTGTCTTACACAAAAGTGGACCAAGACACTTTAGACTGTGACAATCCTGAAGAAGAGCAGTTTGCTCTTGAAATACTGCCAGATGTCCTGGAAAAACACTATGGATATAAACTCTTCATCCCAGAAAGAGACCTGATTCCAAGTGGAAGTAAGTACTTTCAAGTTTTATATTTAAAAAGTTTTATTTCTTTTATGAAGTTACGTGGAGGCTTCAAACATCAAAGCCCAGTATTTAGATAGTTGTTTCTCACAGGAGATTTTATTGAATTCAAATTTCTCCACGATGCCTATGTTCTGAATTTATAGCACTCAAATTTTTTAAAAGGAACTCTCACTTACATTTTAGATATGGTTTTTAAATTGTGCCTTAAAGGTATTTTTTTTATTATATTGCCTTGGTGTTCTGAGAACATAATAATCCTTTAAAAAAAAAACTCTTCATGTCAAAGTCTTTTCAGTGCATTTCAGTTCCAAAGCTGGTCTTCTGTCATTGTGCTTCTGCTTATACCTACATTCATTGTCACTAATAACTGAAAATACACCTTGTTACTCATTTCCAGATTTATAGAAAAAAATCCACATAAAAAAGGTGTGTGAGGCCATTGGGTATAGCACTTTCACTGTGTATTTAAATTATTTTAAAGAAGCTCTGGACTATGTGGGCTTGAAAGTTACTTTTTGCTACATATTGAAAGCTATATTTGAGCATTTAAAATAAATTCTGGTTCAAGTAAAAAAAACATATATTTAGTTCCTGATACTGTTCAGAGTGCCCTACAGACTAAAGTGTAAGGGGAATACAGGAAAGCCTAAAATATGACCCTGCCCTCAAACAGTTTAAAATGCCATTGAAGGAAAATAAAAGTGCTAGAATTAGTTTGCATATGAGTCTATGTTAATATTCTTGAGAGATGGAAGTTAAAATGTGACTACAAACCAAAATATGGTAATTTGTACACATGTGATAAAATTAAAAAGCTTATATTTTCCATGCTTCACAGTATATAAAATATTTTCACATAATTTCATCTTTACAATAACCCTATATAGAAAGAGAGCAGATACTATTATCTTCACCTCACAGATGAGAAAGTTCAAGAAGTCCAAGATCAGATAGCTGGCAAATGGAAGGGCGAGGATTAGAACCTAGATCTATTCGACTCTGGTTCTCACTCCACTAAGGCCTCTAAACTGACAGAAAACAATTTGAAACACTTGAATTTTGGTTGTTTATATCTTTTCTCAGCATTTGTATGTGTCTGTTTCTGTGTGCACATGAATATGCACACTTACATGTACATAGAAAGGAACAAAAAAGACAATATTTATTGATCCGTTACTTCCCTGCACCACAAATGTAATAATTGCCCAAACTCCTTTCAATGGTTTTCCACTCTTTTCTTTCTGTAATTCCCTTCATCTTTATGACTTGAGATACCACTTCTACATTGATTGAACCCCAAGTAACCTACTGATACATCTGAGTCATCTTTGATTCTTCTGTATCTCTCTCCCAAATCCAGCATCCATTGCATCTTTTCCATTCTCTGTTCTCCCATTTTAATGTAGGCCCTAATCACCTCATTACTACAATGTCAATTACTCTCTGCCTTCCTTATTTTTCTTCTCATACATCTATTTCCATAAATATATAGATATAGATATCTAAATCTATCTATCATCTATTTATCATCTATCTATCTATCTATCTATCTATCTATCTATCTATCCTTGATCATGTCACTCCCCCATTCATTTTTTTATAAATTTATTTTTTATTGGTGTTCAATTTGCCAACATACAAAATAACACCCAGTGCTCATCCCATCAAGTGCCCCCCTCAGTGCCCATCACCCAGTCACCCCCACCCCCCGCCCACCTCCCCTTTCACCACCCCTAGTTCGTTTCCCAGAGTTAGGAGTCTCTCATGTTCTGTCTTCCTTTCTGATATTTCCCACTCATTTTTTTCTCCTTTCCCCTTTATTCCCTTTCACTATTTTTTATATTCCCCAAATGAATGAGACCATATAATGTTTGTCCTTCTCCGATTGACTTATTTCACTCAGCATAATCACTCCCAATTCAATCTTAAATTGTTCACCATTTCCTGTAGGATAAAATCCATAACTCCCAGCTAAATACTTCTGTAGTCTGGGAATATCTCAGATTGGTCTTCTAAACTTGTCTCTTACCATTTCCCTTATTTGGAACTTTCACTCTAGCTACACTGTGTCTTTGATATATGTTGTGTGTCCTTGTAATGCTTTTGTTCATCCTAAACTTTTATACCCTTACAAATCTTACTTACTCTTCTCCATTTCACTGCCTCTGTAAAATTCCATAAAAATTTCTCTATCCCTATAAACTTTTTTACTCCTGTGATAGTTTACATTCTTTTGTTACTTTATATAGTTTTCCATCTATTTATATCTTATCTAGTTGCCAAGATTGTAAGCTCCATGAGGGCAGGGATTGTATCATCATCTAACAGAAAACTTGAGCTCATTGGATGTTTCATAGGTGCTCGTTGATTTTTTTTGGACAGTGCCTAAGATAGAAGGAAATAATGAGAATGAAATAAATAAGGGTTTAAATTTTCCATGACAATATCTAAAAGGCATTTTTCTTTAACAAGACAAATGTGAAAGCTAAAAATGAGCTTTCTGCTGAAAGAAAAAAAATGTGAGGAATTCATAGGAATAGTCTCAGTCCTTAAAACAGGCTAATGAGTATATTGCTTTAATTTTGTTGATATTAGAAAGAATACCAGTAAGGGATTAAACATTGATGTGAAAAAAAAATTTCTTTACTTTTTTTTGCTTAATTTATTAGATTACTGTTTATTTTTTTATATTTTGCCAAGAGCATCTTTTTAAATGCAGAAATTCTATAAAATCAATTTTTAGAATGATAATATCCTAAATTGTATTAAAGCAATATCATTACCAAAGTAGAATTTTTTTTCTATGTTAAGTCATCTTTAATAGGACTCAGTGTGGTGCTGGTCTTTTGCATTCCAAAATTGTTAGCATCACAATAGACAGTCTTTATCAACTCCACCAACTGACTGAAAAACATTAGTCTTCATGTCTGAATATTTCAACATTGATTATCTTTCTTCTGAACTGGAAAACGTTGCTTCAGCATTGTGCATATCAGTAAGGGAAATGGGGACAACATGGAACACAGGAGAGCCACTTTACCAAAGACAGTAGGTGACACTTGCTTATTATGTCAAGAAGAAGCTATTGTGCATAGGTGAGAGTCAGAGGTAGACAGCATGAGAGTGAAAAGATGCATCCCAAAATTATGTCTTCTTATTGCTTCCATATAATCTATTTTGGTGACTCTTGGCAGGTCATCTGAATCAACATCCAGTGTCAATCTATCTTAACAGGTGGTAAAAATATTTTAGACTTCTTTGAGTTAGCTAGTTTTTCAGCTAAATTGATTGAAATTCATCAGTTGTTTCGGTGTATCATAGGCATGTCTGAACATCCTCCTTGACCACAGAGTGTGAGGCTTTTATATAAGCCATATTTCCTAGCTCAAAGCTACAAGATTTGAGTTAAAGACTGTAATACACTGAATAAGAGATGATAGGAAGTTGTCACCTAGTATACCCTGACATTTAAAGAACTTAACATAGAAACACCCAAAAAGTCATTAAGATAGCAGAGATTTTATAGTCCACAGAAGATCATTTTAATTTTTTTGAGATTATACAGCCATCAGACTGAGCAGGGACTTGGATCCTGGGTACTCAGTGGTGCACAGGAAGACTCCTTTTACAAGTAAACCATTTGGGACAACTATGCAGTTTTTAGATACAACCACTGGAGGGTGTTTGATTTTAATCCTTCCTTCCTGAATGAGGAAATTCATGTTCTCTGAATTCCGATTTGCGAGTGCAAACTGCAGAAGTTCTTAAAAAGACCCTTTGACAATTTTTCTTTTTCCATCAACATTTCAGAGCTGGCTGAGCAATCACCATGTCACGATTAACGAGTTTTTCCTTGGCATTTTTAGCACGCATTCAGGAAGTCGATGAAGTATATGAATAATATACTTGGTTTACACATGAATGACAGAGTAGAACATTTTGGACTTGTGTATGTGTGTTATTAAAGAAGCTTCTGTGGTCTGTATTTGCAGCTATTGGTACAAATTTAACAAGTTATGCTATATAAATATAGACACATTCCTGGGGGGAAAAACTAGTTACAATATTATAAGCAATGTTTGTCCCTCACATCTCATTTAAAATATGTTGACCCAAGACTACTCCTTCCTCCAAAAACTAGCAATGAGGCCTTTGAGGATTGTAAAAGCAGAAGCAGACTTCATAATATCATCCTTGATCTACAACAATAATTTTCTATGAATCAAATTAATGAGGTCTATGACATTAATCCATTAATGTTTAATGTCTTCACATTTGATGTACCTTCAGTTTCTTTTGCACCACTCTCATGGCATTCCAACGCAATCTCATTAACACGCAAACCTTTCTAATGCATACAGTTTCAAAAGTACATAAATGGGACTCCCCCCACCTTCTCTCCATCTCTGTCTCTGTTTCAGTCTTTCTCTTCTTCATATGACCAAGAGTTCTCACAAAGCTTCAATAGAAAGATGCCACTTTCCAAGATAAGGTGGTGTCTGTACTGCCCCTACTAGGGATGTCCTTTGGCCATCATGAACCAACAGAGATGGGGAAATTTGACACAAATATTTTTCCCAAAGGCTAAAACTAAAAGTCTTCTGATCTGGACATTATTTTCCTGGCATCGGCCTACCTTTCCATCCTTGAGCCTGTGGCCAGGATCTTCCTTATGTTTTCTCAGGTTTGGTGCCTGAATGTGGCAAGAATTCCTACTTTCCAGTAAAAATTTGGTTTGTCTCTTCCCAGGCTAGAAACATCTGTCCTGAGAATAGCAAAAGCAACTTTGTTGCCAACAGGCATCTGAATGTCAGAACTGACAGGCAACCAAAAGAAAGCCAGATAGAAAACACCCTACTCAAACTGCCTAGAGACACAAACTTGAGAAGTAGAGATTTTCTCACTCCTGCAGCTGCTGGGTTTTGTGGTATAAAGTACTGTACACAGAGCACATTGTGTTCATGGGGCCTAGTGGATCCTTGAGG